TATCACACATCAAGAAAGCAGACATTGCGTTTGGAATTTTGTATAAAATTTAATGATATTCTATCTCACTTTTTCTTTCCTAAATTGCTAGTTATAAAACGATTCTGCTAAGATTAACGATTTTCTCACACATTTTATCTTTTCCGTTAATAGCTCTTATATGGAGTCCCTGTTCTCTTTTTTATAATAATGTACCTAATTACCTGCGACTTCGATCTAATCTAATAGGAGAACAACATTCACATCGTATACAGCTTTCGAAATAATGAAAATAAAAACTTGCAAAAGGGTTTGCTGGCAGACTGTTACACTATAAACACAAAAATGAAAATATATACACAAATTCTCTCTCATAAATGAATTCAAATCAAAAATTAGTTTTTATTGTCTTAATATCCACATATTTTAAACATAATCAACAGAAATATATTTTATATCATATTTTTTTTTATTTAGAAGAAAATGAGTTTAATGCGTAATTTGTCTGAACTAATTATAAGCACATCGAAAAATCTAGACACTTGGGTTACCTTTTACTTACTTACTTATTTACTGTATTACAAGAGAGTATTTTTTATTTTTTTTCATTTATCAGATTTTATGCCTACAAAGATTATATAACTAAAAACATTAAAAATACTTTTATCAAATAAACTAAAAGAAAATTACTGTTTTCAATAAAATTAAGTAGTTAAATTGATTTTTATTTGTCTAATCACAGCATATCATTGTTCCAACTAAAATGAACAAATGACATTAATTTTCTCGTTAGGGCCCAAAACCTAACCCCATAATCTTGATATTAGTTTTATTTTATTAAAATTAAATTCTACTAAAATTTACTATTAAAATTAAATAAATGATTTTGGTTTTTTGCTTAAAACGAAACACATAAACTCTTCCTGTTGAACAAAATTAAAATAAGATAAAAAAAAACCCTGAAATTTTTTAGATTTTATATCACGCCCAAAGGGACTTTTCAAAGTTTTGTGTGTTACCTTTATTTTTTAAAAATCATGTTCTTCGCACTTAAACAATAAAATTCAATTCAACATGAATATCACAAAATAATTTAAAAAGAGCATATCTTTAGAATTTCCGATACACAGTCTCGCGCTCTGGAGATAATTTTTTTTCCCCTACAATGTTACCATTGTTTGCTTCGAGATCGTTGTTGAATTTCTTAATCAAAAAGTCATAAATGCTTTACAAAATATGAAAGAGATAATAAAACAAATCCCAAATTCCAAATAAGGGCTTCCAGATGCCCATTAAACCTTAAAACTCAGTTCAACAGAAATATCGCAAAATAATTTTAAAATCAGCATATCTTTAGAATTACCAATACAGATTCTCGCGTGCTGGAGATAATTTTTTTTTCTGTACAACGTTGCCATTGTTCCCTTTGAAATTGTTTAGTTTGTTAATCAAAAATTCGCTAAAGTGTTAAAAATCTGAAATCGATAATAAAACAAATTTCAGATTCAAATTAGGGCTTCCACATGCCCATATTCTATGGAAGATTACGTTATAAGTTATTTCTCCCGCCTTCTTGGCTTGCCTTCGTGCTGTAGAGGTCTGCACGCTGGGCGCGTATTCCAGAGGTCCGCGGTTCGATTCTCGTCGAAGGCGTTTGCTCATTTTCCATCACTTCTGCTTCCAAAATACCTAATGTCTCTATAACGTTATTCAAATTTTGATGGCTGTAGGTACCGTAGTTTTATCACAATGCGAGAAACTTACTTACATTTATGCAGATTCTTCAGTATTTAATTTCTTTAAAAATAATGCAGGGCTCTAATAATTGGTGGCAACAGTTTGAAAAGTGAACCGACATTTCACGCACGACGAAAAATGCCAAAACAAAAATAATAGCCCTTCTGGGCAAATTGCCGCTTTAGGCTAATTAGAATGTTTTGCCGCAAAATAATAAAATTAACGAAATAATGTTGTCTTAGTATTTTTTTCATTTGCATTCTGCAATAAATTTAGAGTTTTAATGCACGGCAAAACTTGTAATACTTAGCTACAGTAAAACTTGTAATACTTAGCTACAGTAAAACTTGTAATACTTAGCTACAGTAAAACTTGTAATACTTGTAATACTTAGTTAGACTTACATCAAAATATTGTGTCAACTTTTCATCTCATTTTAGTCAAACAAAATAATACAAACGAGCCAATAAATTAGTAACAAGTTTAATTTACATTTCCCACAGAGAGGTAATTCTTATGATCTTAATGGATTTTTCCATTGTAATACCCGATACTTCCATTGTAATACCCGATACCCGATATTAATACCCGATACTTAAAGTTCAGATAACACGAGTTCTTAATTTAATGCATTTTATTCGTTCTTTTAGATTTCGCATCGTCATTTTGATTTATTGAAATACTTTTACGTCATGGTGAGATTTTAAATTTACACTATTTTAAGTTTTCGAAACATGATATTTTAATAATATTTTAAGTATGTCTTCCCTTTTCACCATTCCTAAGATTTATTTAATACTATTATAAAAAATATGTCATTTATTGCTAAAAAACCTGACAATAATTCTAGAATATCACATTATTTTTCTGTTAATTTTTTAAAAGAATTTACTTCTTATTTTTAACCATGTGTTATTGCTTTACGCTTAAAAATTTATTTTTCCAGAGACCAAACTAATAAAATAAACCGCTTGATATAATGAAAATTTTATCATTTTTCTCGTGTGTTTATTCTTCCTTAAATCTTTGTTAGAACTGAGAATTTAGAAGAAAAATAGCTTGTTATTATAGCTATTAAAATTCATTATTCCAAAGACGGAACGGCATCTCTCGGCAGTTCTCGAAACGGCATTTTGCACTGAATCACTTTTTAGATCGTTTGCTACCAAATACTATCACCCTGTATTATATTTAAAGAAATTAAATAATGAAGACTCTACATGAATTAATGTATGTTTCTCGAACTGTGAACAAAAAGGCGGTACCTAGAGCCATCAAATTTTGAATAAAGTAGTCCTGCATCCGAATATGCGCACCCGGAAGCTCGAATTTGGAATTTCGAACTAGTTTATTATCTGTTTCATAATATCTAAACTTTAACGAAATTTTGATTAAGGTACTCAACAATTTCAAAGCGAGCAGTGGCAACTGTGTAGACAACAAAACATTTTTATCTCCAGGGCTCGAGATTGTCTATCGGAAATTCTAAAACTATGCTGTTTTTAAATATTTTTAGCACAAAGATGCTCTCAAAACGTGTATATATGTGCAAAATATATGTGTATATATGTGCAAAATATATGTGTATATATGTGCAAACGTGTATATATGTGTAAAAAACTCCCCTTTATAAAATCTAAAAGTTTTCGGCTTTTTTGAAGCGTTAATTCTTATTATTAAATATTTTCCTATAATCATTTGCTTTCTACGCTTAAAAACATGTAATAGGTTTCAGGTGAAATTGTCTACAATACAGACAATTCATTTAACCAACCATAAAAGAGCAAATATAATTAAAGCATTCATGTTAACTGCTCAGTTATAAATGTTCAAATAGATTCTTGAAGATGCCAATACTAATAAATTATTCTCATGGTTTATAACTGACCATGAACCATGAGAATAATTTATTACGAGATGTTAATAGTAATAAATTATTCTCATGGTTTATAACTCACAGATTAGTTCTGATCTTTTTTTTTAGTATTTCAAAGAAAAATCTTACTGCGATTTGGGAGATAAAACAAATTTCCAATCTGCTGAGGCAAATTACTCTGTACATGCTCAATAGTTTAGTGGTAAGTACAGTATATATATACATTGACATATTATATTATACATGACACAGTATATTATACATAGACAAAATTAGAATTGAAAAAAGTGCTTAAAAGCACAAAATCAGAAAGTATATCTAATCACTATTGAATATGGAGAATTAGAATAATATTCTTAATTCAAATTTACGAGAAAGTAAAAGATTTTAGTGGCATCAACTATCCGTTTAAAGAAGCTTTTTATATAGCTTTATCAGAGGTGAAACTAAGAGAACGACTGAAGCCTGAAAGAATGAAGATGCGTTAAATTTTTTTCTAAATTCCAGATATCCTTTATTTATCTTTTAACATTTCTTTTATAATAAATTGAACTTATTTGAAGGAAATCAACATCGAAGATATGCTTTTATCAGTTAGCAATATTCGAGTTACTGTCTAGCTTTCTACTTTATGATTTAAGAAATTAAGCATCTCAAATGGATGAGAGAAATTTGGGAAAATGTATTTAAAATCAAACCAAATATATTTCGAATTGTATCAATAACCAGGCTGGGTAGTTCTGAATAATTTCTCAGTCTGAAATGTAGATTCATTAAAAAAATCAACATTCTTTTCTCTCGAGATCTTATCTATCAAAATATTAATCTTATATTAAATTAAATTTGTTTGAGAATAAATGTTAATAAAATTTTAAGGTTAAATCTTCTTATTCTGTGTTTTACTCTATTCAATAGGTTAATACTTTCATCAAACAGGCGGCTAAATTATGCAAGTAATTGTACCTGCTTTATATTCTCAAGTGGAAAATTCAACATCGTTTAGATTTAATTCTTTGAGTTTTATTAACTAAATGTTTCAAACATCTTCGTTATAATTCGAGGACACTGATTAAAAACTCTTTTTAGCTTTTACTTAAATTTCCCATTATCATAATTCGTATATTAAAACTCCCATTCAAACAAAGCAAAACCTTTTTTGCACAGCTTACAATTATTGCCTTATTCACCCGTCGCTTTTAAAAAATCTTCCTTTTAAAACAATTTTAAATATTGATACTTTACATTACCGAACTCCGCTTAGTTGGATTTAGTTTAAAATGCGAGAAAAATTATAGCTTAATTCTATTTAAAAAAAAAAAAAACAGACAGAGAGAGAGAGAGAAATTCTATTTAAAGAAAAACAGACAGACAGAGAGAAAGAGAAGTAACATTTTATATAATAACTTACTAATATATAATCCTAAACACTGTTAAGTGGGGGTATTCCAAACCAGACGTGGTGCTCCCCAAGAACCACGTGCAAAAGGCACTCACAGTAGGCACTAGGTTAGTTTTAAGAGATAGAGAAAATATTGAACTCCAATATGCGTTACATCTCCAAGAGAATGATGTGGATGATGAGAATCCAAATGTCTTTATGCCATGAATGTAGGGCTCAAGGTTTATTTACAACCGTTCAAGTTCGTTTCGGAAAAGGGAGCACCTTGAAAGATGATCCAGGGTTACCTGGCGGAAATTTTTTCTGCGCCAAAGATGACTCTTGGCGACATTTTTTTTCCCCTCACGCTCGCTTCATTAAGAACCGCTAAAGCAAAATAACTGTATAATGAGCTCTGCTTAGTGAATTGATGTAAAAGAATAAAAGCAGCACTTTTATTTTACCTTGTTAATTACGAATTAAGTGATTATTTTGTGCGGTAATTATCCCATATAACCAGATTTAAGGTTATTTAAATCAAAATGATGCGTTTTATTGACTGATGATGAAAATTAATTGCTTTTTTAATTTTTAATTTTTTATAATTAATAAAAATTAATTAAATAGGAACTCCATCTTTTTATTTATTTATTTGGGATTTGATAAGATTGGTTGAATAAAAGGAAAATGGCAACAAACATTTAAAAAAAGTAATATTTTTATGCAATTTGTATTCAGTTTTGAACAAAGTTAGCTGTATTACTTTTATAACAGTAACGAAAAGTGCTTTCAGTATTTAATGACATTTTTTTATTTTTGCATTGAACGCAGAATAACATTCATTCATCCTACAGATGGATATTGAAACTAAGCTTAAAATTTTCAAGGTTCTAATTACATAAAACTATCCTTGCAGCTGAAGATATTCCCAAAATATCAGGTTGCATTTATTCGATGAATACGTTACTTGATAAATACATTCTTGTTCCTAATGTATTAATGAGGTTTATAATTATATAAAAATACTTAAATTTCATAACATAAATATGTTTGTTACGAAATTTATAATTTTTAGGTACAGTTTGAACAATAATATTTTTAAGCACAGGCAGAATATATTAGGCAGAATAGTTTTCAGTTTTGATTTTTATTATAATTTATAGGATACTGATTACTGAAATTTACCAAGTTAAAAAAAAAAAAAAAAAAAAAAAAAAAAAAAAACAGAAAAGGTAAAATCTTCTTCACGAATATTGCATAAGTCATACAAACTTTACAGTACTTACTGTATGACTAGAAAACTAATTTAAAAAATAACTACTATTAGCCCACCTGAATGGTGACTACTAGCTCATAGTATGATTAGCAGAGGCTGAATACTTGCTCATAAATGTGTGGACTTGACGTTCTTGTAAGGATGTATATAGGTATGCTTGGATGTATATGCGCTGTATTCCCACTCCGCTTGAGAATTTAATATTAGTTTTCCACATTGGTGAGCCATGAGTAATGTTTTGGCTCATGGGAATGTAGAGACATCAGATATTTTTTTACGTGAAAGACGTGAAAAATGAGCAATGCCCTTGCCGGGACTCGGACCTCTTGAATACGCACCGAGAGTGCTGACCATTACACCATGAAGGCATGCTCCCCCTTTTAAAGGGCGACTAGGAATTAGGAAACCCAATCGCCAAATCCTGGTGGGGAAGAATCCTCATTCACTACTTTGTTCCTGTTCGGGTGCCACTGTAGAGACATCAGGTATTTTTTATGCTGAAAAACGCAAAAAATAAGCAGTGCCCTTACCGGAACTCGAACCTCGAACCTCTCGAATACGCGCCGAGCATGCTGACCATTACACCACGAAGGCGGGAGAAATATCTTATAAGATGACCAAATGGTCTGTGGATTTGGTCATAACTCCCGAGAAATTTTCAATTAGTAAATGACTGGCTATTGAGGAGAACAATATTACATTGAATTCTGAATTTATCAATCCATTTATGAATACCTGAAAACTATTATTATGTTCCCTGAAAGAGCAATTTGTCCTAAAATAATTTTCCAGCAAGAGCTTTTAGGGGAAAACTAAACGAAGATTTTATGTTGCATCCATATACAACCTATAAAAATTTCTTTGCTCTTTATTAAAGGTAAAATAGTTGTTTGTTTGAATACCGCAAAATACAACCGATCAATCTCCTGACAAAAAACTTTGAACGTATGTAGTTCGTTCTGTGTTCAGATCATTGGTGAACGGGCTACTTGCATGGGTATTTTTCGTTCTTTTTTTCTTATGTATGATAATAAAACAACGTTTTCCTTAGAAAGTACATCCCGAGACTCATTGCATTTAAGAAGATAGTCCTTACGTGCTTTCCTGTAATCTAAATAAATCGACCTAATCTCAATGGGGAAATACTCAGGGATTTTTCTGCCTGAGGGAAGGTTTTTCTCTCCTGAACGATCCTCTAAAGATCCCTTTGCGAAGAGGGAGAACTATGGAAGCATTCATATAGCCCGTCCGTATAATAATCAATTAACATAAATTTTGTTAAGGTTTTAAATCCGGCCCTGTCTTAACCAGATACTTACGTCACTCAAAACGTTACTGTGTAAGTTATTTTCACCTTCCTGTTCCTGTGTTTTTTGCATGCCTTCGTGATGTAACGGTAGCACACTTGGCGCGTCTTCGAGAGGTCCGGGTTCGAATCCCGGCGAGGACATTGCACATTTTTGATGTTTCCTGCTTCAAAAAACTTAATGACTCTACAACTGATGCGCCAAAAGTTAAGCAAAGGCAGTATTCACCCCACTGACTAAGTATTAAACACTAAATAGCTTATACGTCTCCTCTAAATTTCTTATTTTATATTTAATTCTTATATTTTACTGATAGCGTATTTCTTTTTCATATTTTATTCTTCTGATAATTATTATATTATTTTGTTATTAAATTAATTTTTAACTTTGACTAAAAGTCAATTTCACTTGTTCTTTCACAATTGCAGTGTCAAATTTAAAGTAGTAATGAGTTCTATTACTTATCTAGTTTTCTATTAGGCTACTAGGCTACTATGGGCAATGATTTACCTTACGCAGTTTGGGCTTAAACTATTTCCACTTAATAACTTCCTTTTCAAATTTTTGGGACAAAAATCCACTGTGTAAATTAAATTATCAAAAAAGCAGCTATTTGATTGAGATAAGCACATTTCCTTCACTGAAGACAATGCAATATGCCAATCAACTTCTACTGACTCATATTTTTTGCATTATTTTAAAATACGTTTTCTTATTTTATTTCTTATTTATATCTTTCTGATTTCTTGTACTTAGCTTTCTTTCTATAAAACCGGCGGAGATTGGTGATTTGCTTTCCAAATTTTGCATTAAATGCATTAGATTAAAATTATTTACTGTTAAATCACTTAAAGTTTGTTTGCATATAATTACTATTCAAGGCAAATTATCAGTACTGTTAAAGTACAGGGGTTGGAGAAAAATATGGAAACACCTTTAAAAAAACATGTTTCTTTGCTTAATATGTATTCTTCCTGCAAAACGGTGTAGGAAACCCGTTGGCATCCAAAACAGCTTGTAGTCTTCTCGGAATGGATAAATACAGTTCCTGTATGTTTGCCAAGGGAATATTATACCATTCTTCCTGCAAAACGGTGGCAAGTTCAGATAACGATGTTGGCGGTGGATAACGAGAACGCACTTTCCGATCCAATGTAGACCATAAAGGTTCGATAATATTCAGGTCTGGTGACTGTGGTGGCCAGGGGACATGGGACAACTCTTCCTCGTGCTCAGAAAACCAGTCCTGGACAATGTGAGCTGTGTGAACAGGGGCTCTGTCGTCTTGGAAGACACCATCACCATCGGGGAACAAAGTTTGTACCATGGGATAAACTTGATCGGTCAAAATGTTCACATAAGTCTTGGCAGTCATGTGCCCTGACACAGTTATCATGGGGCTAGCAGAGAACCACGATATGGCTACCCAAACCATAACAGAACCCCCACCATGTTTCACTCTTGGCAACAAGCAGTCTGTATTATAGGCTTGAGATGGCGTTCTCCAGACGTAAACTCTGCCAGAAGTGGGAAACAATGTGTAAGATAGTCCAGGCTTTATGACTGCTCTATAGTCCAGGCTTTATGACTTAAACACCACCTTTTCCTGTTACGGGCATTAGCATCACTTATGAGTGGCTTCTCAATTGCAGCACGGCCAGCAATTCCCTGTTTATGAAGCTCCCTTCTAATTGTTTTAGTACTCACAAGGTTCGGTAACACAACATTCATTTCAGCAGTAACTTTTACAGCTGTGGTCTTCTTATTTTTCGTCACAATTGCCCTTAAGATCGTCTGTCACGATCACTCAGGAACACACTTTCGTCCGCGCTGTGATTTAGCAGATGATGTTTTTTTTCCGCTTTTCAAAATATGGCGGAATAAATCTTCGATACAGTACCTCTTGAAACACTAAACACCTCGGCTACCTTGCTTACGGAAGCACCTACCAACGTGCTCCAACAATTTGCCCACGTTCGAAGTCTGTTAACTCTGACATAATGCAATGACAACCTCACATAACAGTACTCCGACAACAACTGAACTGTTTAGCACATTTAAGAAGTTGTATAGGTGGCGTCAGTAGACGAAAACGCCAGCGCCACCTACATATTTCATTAAAATCAATCTTTCTTTTCAAACATGCATTTAACAAGGTGTTTCCATATTTTTGTCCATCCACTGTATGTCTCTAATGTGTTCTGCTTTGAACGCAGCACATTAATCTATCAATATTCTTTGTGTGTTACATTGCATTGTCATTTTCGTTGATGAATTGTATTTCGACTAAATACAATACATCAACAAAACTGACAATTCATTCATAGTGTATGCCGCTTTTGTAGTAATGTATGTTTATAAGTTCTTTAGATATTGTTTGTTTTTGTACTGGTATGAAGTTTGAATTACAATGAATAGCTGTTTATTTACTTATTTAAATCCACCTCTTCATATCTGACGTTCATTTTGCTAATTTAATCTCCCCCCCCTTGCTGTTGTTTTAAGTGAGAGGTAGAATTTTCATTGCATCGAATATTAATCAATTTATAAAAATACAGGAACTCAAATTACATCCCATTAAATTACCTTATCGTCTTGACTATCACGTTTTTTTGCCATTTCTTGAAGT